GCCTCCTGTGGGGTGAGCTCTAGGTTAAGATCAGGCAGCAAAGACACTTTGGCTAGACAATGCCCCCTCCAGGGCTGACAGATCTCTGAGGCCAGGGCATAGGTGGGAGAATATAGAACACAGAGGGCCCTTCAGTCCCTCTCTACCTCAGAGTTACCCTTTCTTTGCCCCCTAGAACTGGAGTTGAACCCAGGGCCTCACACATGCTAGAAAAGTCTTCCATTGAGCTAGCCCCTCAGTCCTCTTTTCAATTTTTATTTTGAGACAAGGTCTTACTAAACTGCCTAGGCTGACCTTGAACTAACTCTATAGCCCAGATGGACTTCAAAATTGCAATCCTCCTGCCTTAGATTCTTGAGTCGCTTGGCTCCTAGGCCTGTGCTACCAGGCTTGGAGCTGCTCCCAGTTTATGTTGGCTGCCTCCTGTCCAGAGAAATGGGGGGCCAGATGGGAAGTTAGGGTTTCAGGTCACCTGTGGAGACCAGGGTTTCCTGTCCTTGCTGGGCTCCACAGAGACCTAGCTGGGAGGGAAGTGCTTCCTACCGCACCCCTGGCTGGCTTTTGCCCGAGCTTAGGAATTCAGGTAGCTGTGACTGATTTTCTGCAGCATACGAGGCTAATGGGCTGCTGGTGTTTCTTAGCCACATGGAGTACAGGGTGTCATTGCTGACATAACCCCAGAGACTCCTTGCTGCAGGAGACCTGAGAGACGGGGAGGGCAGGTTGGCATGAAAAGGACACGAGGGTTTGTTCTTAGGTTGCAGTGACCTTGAAACAGATCTTGTCGGTGGGGCCCGAGGGTGGGGTAGAGGGTTGAGTGTCTCTCCTGGACATGGCTAACCCATGTCTCTCCCCAGGCCTCCATAGGTTTTCAGAACTCCACCTTTCCCCCAAGACATTGTCATATTGACCATCAGGTAGATGGTGGGTCTCAGAGGAAACATTGAAAGTGAAGTTCTAAATGTGAATACACAGGCCAACCTCAGCTCAGCAGTCCTATCCATTCATATTGAGAGGCAGAACAGGGTCTCTGTGCAAACCTTGACCTAGTCTCCCAGATGCTGTGTGCTGAGCCCATCACTGTGCTGTCACCTGCAGTGCAGGGCTCTGAATGTTCATTTTTTGATGGTCAGAGAAAGGGAATGTCTCCATGACTCATGAAGTCACATAGGCAGGAAAACTGAAAAACCACAAATAAGGGACTCAGTCAACAAAGCCCAAACTACTTCAGGCTATTCTTGGAAACGACACATCACATCTTGTTTCTTCCCAGAAAATGCACAACCCTGCATATTTCTTGCTAGTTGGTTCTATTTCTATTACATCTCAAACTCCAGAGAGGCAACATCTGGGCAGTGGTTAAAAGGGCAGACTACCAAGATCCAGCCACCCAGGAGCCTCTGATTGAAGTATTTTTCTTGTTTTTGAGACTCTGTGGTCTCCTGTACCCCAGGATGGCCTTGAACTCACTTTGTAGCCAAGGATAACCTTGAACTCTAGCCTCATCTCTCTGCTTCTATTTTGAAAATATTGGGATTACAGGCTTGGACCACCATGCCCAACTCTGCTTTAATAATTTTTGACCCTTGTCATTTGGGGATGGTAAGAGTGTTCCCCAAAGGTCATAAACCCACAAACCTCTAAGAAATGGAAGCTTAAAGCTCAGACTCACTGTGCCCCTCACAGTGCCAGGCAGGCCCCTGACCAGCACTGCATGCATATACGCTCTATTTTCAGTTCCTTATCAAAACTCCCTGGGTGAGATTCCTCCTTGACACATGGGAAAATTAAAACTCACAAAGTCAGTGATTTGTCCAAGATTACATGGCTAAGAAGGGAGCTCAGACCTACATCTTCTGAAGTGATGCTCTTAGCTTCTAGAGATTTTTGTTTGTTTTGTTTTAAGACAGGGTCTCCCCATGTAACCCAGACTGACCTAACATGCTTATGCCTCCCAAGAGCTGAGGTTACTGGGATGTGCCTTGTCCTGTAGTTTTAAGGTATATGTAATTTCTTGACATAGGAGCTAGTCTATCAGGTTTGGGGGTTTTGATTGTATTTAGCTTTGTCAGTTCTGGGTCTCAAATCAGTTCTGGGTCTGTGCATGCAAGGCAAATGCTTGAGGAAGCCAGTCTAAGCCATGGATTATGTTTCTTTTTGAGTTGATGTTTGGGCCATTGAAAGACTGGTGCTAGTTACAAGGCCAGTGAACATCCCAAACTGGGATTTATGATTGTGCATTTATGATTGTGATTCTATGATGTGAGAAGTATTGTCTTCATTTTACAGACAGGAAAACTGAGGCTGCTGACTGAGCTGACTTGCCTCGTGTCACACAGCTGGCAAGTACTGGGGACCAAACTCCAGCACAGGTTTCCTAGACTAAATAAATGATCTGATGATTCCACAAAGATGGCTACCCACCACGTGACATTACTATCTTAAAGTAGTATGGCTTGGCAATCCAGTATTTAAAAACGTGGAGACTGTTTAGATCCAGGGAGGCATGTTCAAGCCTGGTACAGTGGGGTTGGTGTTCAGAGCCAAACTTAACTCCTCCCATGGGCCCTTTGCCTCCCTTCTCTTATCACACCCTAGATAAGAGCTAGTTCTTGGAGCTCTCACACCCCCAGACCCTCGTACCGCCTTTGCCTCATCCTCTACTGAAGTCCAAGATTTAAGTGGTTTCAAGGGAGAGAGAAGACAAGTTCTTCAGGTTTGTAAATTGTCTCCTGGGAGACAGATCTGGCTTGATACTTGCCAATGGTATGCAATTTTAGACAAGAAGCTGGGAGTGGAAAGTAGATTTGGATATAGCATGTGTTACATGCATTACATATGTTAGCACACATGTCCAGCACTTCCTGGGCCTGAGGTTATCATGCTTCTCTTAGAAGAAACCAAGTCTTGACATTTAGGTGACTTGTGTGAGGTTATGTGGCAGTGAAGGGACTTTGCACACCTGCTCCCATATCTCCAAGGTCACCCCACTCCAAGGTCAATCCATCTTCAGCAGGGATTGTGGGGTTTTGTTAGAATCCTGGGAGCCTTGTTCTGTCTTCTAGCTACCCTCCACACCCTCATTCAATGCTACATTGTTATGGCCCCAAAGATAGATAAGTTTGGGAATGTGAACACACTCAGAGAAGCAGATGTGCCCTGCTTTCTGTGGATACTTTCTGGGTGGCAAGTGTGATATTCACAGAAAGATGAGATATAAGAGGCCACAGTGTTGCTGTGAGATGCCAAGCAAATGCCCGGGATGTTAGAAGAGCTAAGGGAGCACAAGTGAAGGAATTTATGTCTCCTCCAAGCAAGGCAGGGCACTACATTGCCAGTCCTCTCCACCTGTGTAACTTGTTAGGTGGCATGGGTAAGCAGGTAGGCCCTCCTGAAGGACAGGTCTGGCCAACATAGGCAAGTTAAGAGCTCACACAGAGATGGGGGTTAATGTGAGCACAGTACCAGTCACAGTGGATGCTCTCAGGGGAGCAGTAGGGGGAGAATAGGTTCTCACATGAGCCATGTATACCCCTTGGCCTGGAGGAAATACTCCATGATTGATCTCAGAACCCATAATCTACCACTTTTCAGGAATATTGAGCTGCCAACACCTTGAATTTGCTGTTGCTGTGACTATACCAGCTCTTTCCAGACTCGTGCCTCTGTCCAGTGTCTTGCTGGCCCATACATCCACTCCCCCATCTTGTACTGAAAACCCCTCCTTCCCACAACAAAAGCAATTTGGCATTTCCTGGTGACTTCTCCAGGCTCAGTGGGACACCTGCTTCTCTGAGCAAAACCCCAGGCTCTTTGTTTGGACAAAGTGCTCTTTTGTCCACCATTTTGTCTTCTTCCCCAGATGAGCCATCTCTATTCCTGGCAACCAGTGCGATACTGACATTTGCCAAGGCGGCAGAAACTGTTGTGGATGAATCAGAGATTAGGGGAAATGATACGAAGACAACCTCCTGACTGATTTGGATATTTTGAAACCAATCTCCAATCCAGATGTGCCCTTCGTGAATGACCCTATCTGGGGAGCTTGAAGCTGCCTTGGGGCCTTGTACTCTGTGTGTTGTCCATTGCTAGGCTCCTCAATACCCCAACAGCCAGCCCTCACACTGGCCTTCTTGCACTAACTATGCATTTTGAGAAAAAAGAAATAGCTTTGCTAGAAGTGGCTTCTCTTCATTTTCATTCCTTTGAAGCTGAAATGACTTCCCTATGAAATGCTTGAGGTTAGAATGGCACAGAGAGAGGGAGGTGGGTAGCATGTCCCAAACCCAAGAAAGCTATTTCAGCCATGTGAATGAACACCCCGTTCATTCTGTCAGTCCAAGCACTTGTTCAAACAGCTCCCTGCTTGGTCTTGCATAGAACAGGCTCCTTTCACCACTGGCAAAGAGAAGGCCATGTGACTTCTGGTTGTCTGACTGAGGTAGATGGTGTGCTTCCAGAGGATTCCAGAAACAGAAGTTGTGAGAGGTTGTCACGTGTCACCTGTATAGGGGAAAACCTTACCCTAGGGTAATCATTGAAAAGGATCAGGGATTCTGGAGGAAGGTGGTCTATGGGTTCTCACCTGTGCAGTGACATAGTTGTAACTAGGTTGAATTCCTGTTAGTTAATCAATTTTGCAGCACTAAGAATGGTAGGTTTTCCATAGGGGCTAAATCGACTGTTCCTTTCTGGCCTTTCCCTTTTCCTACTCACAGTTTCCAGGGTCATCTAATTTGCAGCTTGATTGTCTGGGTCCTGTTGACATTCTCTGGAGTATATTTATATAGCCATGTGCAATCTGCAGTACTCTAGCCAGGGAAAGGATTGGGGGCTGGGGAAAGAGGAGGCCAGCAAGGCATCATGCCAGGTTAGAAGGTACATTGGACCTTCTCCAAATAAGGCCCAGGTAGAGTGGTGAGCATGCAGAATCAAGATCAGCCCTTTAGTCCCTTTAAAGGGCATGAGACTCACCTGTCTGTCAACGCCTTCCTTTGCAGGTGTAACACTTTCCCAGCGATTTATGGTAACCCACTCTGACCCCTCCACACCACTGTTCCACATAGCTCCTGAACCATGGGAGAAAATGAGGATGAGAAGCAGGCCCAGGCCGGCCAGGTCTTTGAGAACTTTGTGCAAGCTACCACATGCAAAGGCACCCTCCAGGCCTTCAACATCCTCACCTGCCTCCTGGACCTAGATCCGCTGGACCATAGAAACTTCTACTCTCAGCTCAAGTCCAAGGTGAACACCTGGAAAGCCAAGGCCCTATGGCACAAACTGGATAAGCGTGGCTCCCACAAGGAGTATAAACGAGGGAAAGCCTGCATGAACACCAAGGTAAGGGACCCCCCCCACAGACATTTCTCATGGGACAAGGAGCTGAAGAACTATTGCTATCCTGCCATTTTGAGCTTCTTAATAGATGTGCCTGTGGGTGCTATATTGTGGTTCTCCGGGGAAGACTTCCTTTTCTGGAAGGGGTGCCTTGAAGTTGATCCTATTGTGGTGGCCACAGCTACCCCTTTGTACCTTCTCCAAGGGAGGGAGCCAAACGCAAAGTGGGGGCATGAAGCAAATGCTACCATCCTATCTTCTACTTCTCCTGTCTCTACAACCTGCTGCTTGTGGTCCCTGCTCTTTATTGAACAACTTCTATATACAAAGTACCTTCTGTCCCATTTGAGCCCATTGAACACCTGCAGTAGGCTTTTGAACTGCACTAGAGATGTGTAGACTGAGAAAGCAATTGTTTTCCCTGTGTTCATACTTCCAGAAGGCATGGTGTCTCTGTCTGATTCCACAGCTTAAGCACTGTTACCTAAGATGTATCATTTGATGGTTGTCTACTGGTAGCAAGCATTTTAGAAAGACACCTGTTTGTTGTTGTTGTGTGGGGTGTGGGTGGGCACACTTGCCTGTGTGTGTGCATATGAGGAAGCCAAGGGTCAACTTCAGGCATCTTCCTCTATTGCTTTCCACATTATTCTTTTGAGACAGGACCTTCCACTGAGCTTAGAGCTTATTATTTTAGCTAGACTACCTGGCCAGTGAATCCCTGGAATCTACCTGTTTCTCTCCCCTCAATGCAGGTGTCTGTCTCCATGCCTAACTATTACATGGCTGCTGGGGATTGGAACTTGGATCCTCATGCCCACTCAGCAAGCTTTTTACTCAATGAGCCATCTCCCCAGCCTGACTCCCTAATTGTCAGTTAATAGCTATGGGGAAGCCTCTGGTTTTTCTCCTTAATATCTCCTTGCCCCTTCCCCAGGATCCATGTCTCTGCTCAGGAGCACACCTGTAGATAGTCTCCATAAACTGATTGTGTCCCCTGTGGTCTACAGTTAGCAGCATCATTGAACCTAGGGCCCAGGGCATCACACCTCTGACATCTCTGACACGTCACCACCGGACAGGCTGCTAAAGCTGAGATTCATTACTGGCCCTGGAGGACTGTTGCTGGTACAGATCCAGGCTGTGTGTTTAGGTTAATGTTGAATGCCCAGTATTTAGACTTCTCAGGAGGTAGCTCAGCAGAGCCCATGGAATTCTAGTCTGTGCCAATCCCAGGACAAGAGGATTGAACTCTCCATAGCAATGGAGCCTGTTGTGTTTTTGTTTTGGTGATGGGGAGTGGCTGAGGCCACCGTGGGATACGGCTGCTTTCCATTGCCCTAGGGAGACAGCTGCCAGGCTCCTGAGCTCAGTGCACCAATGTGCAAAATACAGGAAAGGGTTCCAACTGTACTAAAACCATGTGCACTTCAGCCCTGAATATAAGAAACCCCTTCCCCCAGCCTGGTTCAAAACTTGCTATGCTCTAGCCTGAAGCAGAGGACACTAGGGTCAAAAAGGAAAAGGGAGAAGACAGATACCCTGGGTGCCACTCCCACCGATGTCTCTCTTCAAAGTTGTTGTTAATTTCCTTGTTCACAGCTCCCTGGGGAATTGGGGGGAGGTTTCAGAGTTACCTTTTTCAGTCATTGTACATGGTAGCTTTCTCTTTAAAAGGACCCCATGTTTGGTTCTTGCAACCCCCAAGAAAGTTGTACTCTCATAACGAGGGTACTACAGAAAGTTTAAAAGGACCCCATGTTTGGTTCTTGCAACCCCCAAGAAAGTTGTACTTTCATAACGAGGGTACTACAGAAAGGAGGGTATTTAGAACTGTTAGGCTAGGCTGGAAATCCTCTTGTCTCAGTACTAGAACTAAAGGTGTGAGTCACCTTGCCTAGCAGAACTGTTTTATTAGGAAGTGGCATTGTCCAGGTGGCTGATCCAAAGGTGAACCTTCTGAGGTTGGCCTTGAACTCCTGATTTCTGTGTGCATATTCTGGGTACTAAACTTTTTGGCGTGCAACACCATGTCTGACTCTGAAGGTGTGCTTTGAAAAGTCACCAGCCAGTCTTGTCTGACCAGTCCTATTTTACAAGTTCTAATGACTTGAAGCAGCAGAGTTCTCATACCTTGTGACTGACAGATCACTGTGTATCTGAGATACAAAGAAAGCAAGAATGTCTAAGTAGTGGTGCTTTAGGAAGTAGTGGCTCTGAGCTTGAGCTGTTGTTCTCTTTGTAGGGGGAAAGGAAGGCTTTTCAACTATGCAAGAATCTATCTTATTAAAACTGCCTTGCTGAGGAGTGGGAGAGTCTGAACAGGCACTGGCAGTCTAGACTGAGACTCTGTGAGGTCTCTTGTGCTGGTCTTTTCAGCAACCTAGATCAAACCAGTCAAGTCGGCAGGAAAACCATTTAGTCATGAAGTCAGGATGGTCCACCATGCAGTCTTTCCCTCCATGTTGGATATTTTACCCTATTCCCCTGTATTATGGGTGGGTTTCTCTCATCTTGGAATGTCTGAGTCCCAGCTTGACAAGTCTGTGACCCAAAAGCTATATCTTTCTCCTGCAGCTCAGTAGTGGACTTTTTAGTGCCCTGCCTCTGGATCTACCATGATCAAATGCAGGAAACCTGGCTACTGTAATTGACAACTCTTCCTAGCATCATGTGATTGACATGAAGGTGAAGCAGCTTCCCAAGCCTGGGAGCATAGACAAACACAGGTGTTCTCCACTTTTACTGGTTCCTTTTTTTCTGCTCAGGCCCTCCCATAGCAGAGTCATGCATGGGTAATGGCACTAAACTCTAAGAGGCCATGCTGCTTTTCTTGTGAGTCTAGCCAAACCACAGAAGATGGGTCCCACCTGTCCTCCCACGTGACAGACACTGACTTGTTCACACAGCATGTTTATGTTTTCTTTGACATAATAGTTTATGCTTAGCATCAGCCAGATAAGAAATACTAGACCTTAGCAAACATGTGGTTGATCATAAATGGTATTCTAGATAATGCAGGTGTGTTGAATGTCTGGCTTAATTAAAGCTCCCAGTTAGCCACAGGCATGAGTAGGAGAAAATGCAATTTGTCCCAACCCCTTCTTTGTATTGAGGGGAGCATGATTCAATCCATATGGAATTGATTTGGGCTTCTCAGCTCCCCACCTGCACATGCTAAGTGCTGTGGTTGCTTCCGAATCTCTAGCCACACATGCCTGTCTATGCTGGCGGCAGTGGCAGGAGGGCAAGATCTATAAGAAGAGCTATGATAAAGGTACCTAGAAATGAGAATGACCTAGCAGGCCTCTAGAGCACTGGAGCAAGTGTGCATTGCATAATTTAGCCTGAGATAGTTGTTTATGACCTATTAATATTTATGAGGGTTTCATTAGGCACTCCATAATTCATTCCCTGGGTGTGGCTCAGGATAAGAGTGGAGTGAACCAAGGATCAAATCATATGAACTCTCTTGAGATTGATGCCACCTTGGCACTAAGGCCACACCTGGCTCAGATGTGACATCCAGGTGGGTAGGTATTATGCCAGGCCCAGATGAGCCTGTAATGTGTAATTTGGTATGGAGCTGTCACGCCCTCAAACCATGCACTTATGTAATGCTAGAAGCAACTTAAGAGAATAGTGTTCTCTTCATCTGGCAGGTGACATGTGCAGGGGGTGGGGCAGGCAGGGAGCCACAGCTGTTTTCGGGGAGCCATTGAGTAGCACTGCTGGGGTTCAGGTTATCTTGGTTTGCCCCAGCAGTAGGTATTTGTAGATCTCTACACCTTAGCTAGGCATCCTACAGTACAGATAGTTTTGAAGGATGGTTAAGAAGATATTAATCAGGAAGTCAGTTGTGGTGCACACCTGCCTACAGATAGTTTTGAAGGATGGTTAAGAAGATATTAATCAGGAAGTCAGTTATGGTGCATGCCTGCCTTAATCTCAGTACCCAAGAGGCAGAGCAGGCAGATCTCTGTGAGTTCGAGGCCAGCCTAGTCTACAGAGTAAGTTCTAAGACAACCAGGGCTACACAGAGAAACCCTGTCTCAAAACAACAAAAAAAGAAGGCATTAATCTATAGCCTTGAGCTATAGATTATAGCCTGAGCTACACTGTCAAACAAACACTGCCAGTGAGATCCTGAGATATTTCAATGGATAAAGGCACTTGTCATGCAAGCCTGGTGACCCAAGTTCAATCCCTGGAACTCATATAAGGGTAGAAGAAGAGAACTAGCCAGATAAAAATATCTTCTGACCTCCACACACTTCCATGGCACAATGCCCCCTACACACAATAATAATAATAAATTTAAATTACATTAAAAAAGAAATAGTTCTCAAGTTATGTGTGGTTGGTGGAGGTAGGAGAACCTGGGCTATCTGAGTTCTCACCTGAGCTTTTTATAGTGGAGACAGGAATATATACTCATCTACATATTTGATAATTCACAACGTGGATGTTATGAAGCTGATAC